TCTGCAACAACTGAACTGTGGCTCAACAGTGATAGAAAACAAAAATCACCACACATAAAAAAATGGGGCATAAAAATAGAGCAACAAAATATGTAATCAAGACAAGCAACAGTTATTATAAACATAGATCCTGTGTTTGTTCGGGGACCCCATTGTGGGGTGGGGGGAATATACTCACTGCCCCTTAATAAGCATATCGTAAGAGGCGACTAATTAGGAATTTTTCCTTCAAAGTCAGAGTGCCTCTGCTTCTTACAATGTTTCATTCTTTTTATGAACAAATATCCTTCCCTACTTAAAAATAGCTTCTAAAAGACAATGCTTTGAAACAAACTGTTTTCAGTAAGTGAAAGAGAGATAAGCAGGCAAGTAGAGTATAGGGGAGAGCTACAGAAAGACAGACAGATCAGCAAACAGGCAGGCATACAGGTGGGCAGATTGGGGAAAAAGGCAGTGGAAAGAGAAATGAAATATAGGCTAAGATTAATAAATTAAGTATGTGAAGAATCCTAGCATCCATTAACAGCTAATACAACCCATGAATAACATCTGTTAAACAGGGTTAGGTTAGTTGCGTAGCTTTTACAGGGCGTTGCAGAACCAACCTCAACAGCCCCTGGCTGTTGTGTGGTTTTTCTAGGCAAATTTACGTCCAGTAGTTTGCCATTGCTTTCTGGACGGTCAGCTTTCTTGACACCACTGTCGAAACCAACGCAAGGCGCATAGCCCCCGCAGCTGGAATCGAACCCGGCATTAGGAAGCGTTTGCATCGACTTAGCCACAGAGCCGACGTGTTAAACAGGGAAACACATTATATTAGATTCAGCTCAGCTGTAGAAAGTGTGGTGTCCGCACATGCCCCAACCTAACACACAAACAGATGCTTCAAAAAACAGTGAACAGTTGTTAATTAATAACTCCTATCTTGGTATCAAGACGCAGTACCTAAGTTCTGAACAACCGTGCTCTTTTATTTAGCTTGGAGGAGGAGAAAAGAGCTCTGAAACATCCCCAAAGAGAGGGCCCTTGTGGGGGTTCTGGAGCCCTATTTTGGGTGGAAAAGAATAGATCCACTGTCTCCTATCAAGCAGGTTGTAAAGGGCAACATAAGAGGATTTTCCTTCAAAGTTGGAGTACCACTGTTGAGAGGCAAGGGACCAATAGTCTGCATTCAAAAAAGCCAGATCTGTAAAATGGATACGCACATAAAACTCAAGTTCTAGGATGAAAATAAAGTCTCCAAATGGATGAGCTACCAAAGGTAGAAGAGTATCAACTAAGTAAAGCAGTAAAATCTATTTTAGGCTGAGTCGACTATTAGCTAAGATCAGTTCTGACCCCAAAAAAATTGGCCTAACGCACAATTGAATCTCAGCCTATAGATCTTCAGATCGGCAGGCAAGCAGCTACTTGAGTACTGAGTTCAGAGAAAAATCTTCACACCAAATCTACACCTAGCAAGCAATGTGCCAGGCTCAGAAAACATAACACTTAACCTTGTTGACTTAAGAGTAAAAGCCGTTCATAGCATTCATAAAATAACCACCCAGTACTAACTAAAAACAGCTTCATTTAACATGAACACCCTTTAAGGATGAATGTATGAATGAATAGCTGGATGAACAGAGGGAGTGAAAAATGAATAAGCAGAAAGATATTAGATTAATTATTACCAAAAGTTGAAACAAGCAAATTTATGTTGCAAATGGTACATTTTCAACACAGTAGAGAAATCAACATGAATAAAAAGTATTCAGTGAGTACAAGAATAAAGACAGGATGAGCCAGGAACCAGTCATTAAAAAAAAACCAATGAAGCGGCTGAAACATCAACAGTCACCATATGTAGCCATATGCACTGTAGAATCTGAATGACAAAACACATACAAGTGCTTCCTTCGTACTAAAGCTTATCAGAGATATTCGAATGCTGTTAATTTTTCCACCTTACAGGAGATTGTCGTCACAATAATCCAAAAATTGTTGTATGAACTACACGTACACACATAAGTAAAGGGAAGTAGAAGCTCAACAAATGGAAAGACACAATAAAACACTTGTCATGAACTCGATACACACATAAATAAAAGGAAGTAGCTCAGCAAATGGAAAGACACAACAAAACACTTGTCATGAACTCGATACACACATAAACAAAAGGAAGTAGCTCAGCAAATGGAAAGACAACAAAACACTTGCCATGAACTAGATACACACATAAATAAAAGGAAGTAGCTCAGCAAATGGAAAGACACAACAAAACACTTGTCATGAACTAGATACACACATAAATAAAAGGAAGTAGCTCAGCAAATGGAAAGACAACAAAACACTTGCCATGAACTAGATACACACATAAATAAAAGGAAGTAGCTCAGCAAATGGAAAGACACAACAAAACACTTGTCATGAACTAGATACACACATAAATAAAAGGAAGTAGCTCAGCAAAAGGAAAGACACAACAAAACACTTGTCATGAACTCGATACACACATAAACAAAAGGAAGTAGCTCAGCAAATGGAAAGACACAACAAAACACTTGTCATGAACTCGATACACACATAAACAAAAGGAAGTAGCTCAGCAAATGGAAAGACAACAAAACACTTGCCATGAACTAGATACACACATAAATAAAAGGAAGTAGAAGCTCAGCAAATAGAAAGACACAACAAAACACTTGTCATGAACTAGATACACACATAAATAAAAGGAAGAAGAAGCTCAGCAAAAGGAAAGACACAACAAAACCCTTGTCACGAACATGATACACACGCAAGCAAAAGGAACTAGAAGTTTTACAAATCACAACAAAACATTTGTTGTCTGTGTGTCTTTTCTTTGCTTATTTTTTTAAATATATGTCTTTTTTTTTGTCTTTTTCAAAGTTATTCTTCATTATAAGCTTAACAGCAGCCACACACTACTTCCAATAACTTAGAAAATAATGTGTTAACACCCTGACAATAAGCACAGGCAGCCATGATTCCCCAACTCAGACAAATACCACAGTCTTAGATCGCATGTGTTTTCCTGTCTTGATTGTACCATGTGACCAAGCCGTCCTGGTATTTATATCTTTGGATGATTCCCAGGGATCTCTGTAAAAATTGCACTCGGGAACTGAACTGCACAGTCGTGAAACGAACCCACAACCTTCAGAGCGCGAGGCAAATAGTTTGACTACTTCGCCATGGAGACCCCCAATGTATGTACACAGATAAATAATTAGATCAAACTTATATGTCAGCAAACAGGATGAAAACAGAACAATGCACGTTGGAAAACACAATTAGTGAGAACAATCCATTTATAAAATATATGATTAACAAGAACCCCGATTACGAGAAAAGGCACATAATGTGTAACCAGAGAAATGCAACATAAGATAATATTTGACTAACGAGAACAATGCACATATGAACATATATAAGTAACAAGTCTGGATATAGGTAAGAACAAAAATAACAACATACACAAACAACAAGCAAAAAGCGATTCTGAAATCTCTGCTGGCTGCTAAAGATGGGGACGGAGCACTTATTGGAATATCCTGATTGATGTGATGCAGGTTTTAAACTTAACACTCTAAACAAAATATGTCTCAAAAACTCAATGCATATGAAAACTAGTAGATTAAAAACAGAATAAATGATAAAGATATTTGGATAATTAGAAGATACGCCTATCACAAGAGCGGCGTCCGTGGCTAAGGCGTTGCGAGTTTGACTCATAATCCAACGTACTGCGATCGAAACCCACTGCGGGCTGCGTGGATTTTTATCGTAGTATGGGATGTCGCAGGTCGACCCAGCCTCAAATGGGTACTAGGATGGGCTGTCCTGGGAAAGTAAAGATGGCCGGCGTAATGCTGACCACATTACCCACCTATTTCACTGTGGCCGAGCGGCTAAACGCTCGTCGCGGATCAGAAGGTCGTGGGTTCGCTCCCTGGCGGAGCCGGACTTTTTCAAAAATGACTTTGGCTCCCAGGTCGACCCAGCCTTGAGTGGGTACCGGGTGCAGTCCCGGGAAAGTAAAGGCGGCCGGCATGATGCTGACCACATCACCCACCTTGTGCAGATTGGTCTATAAAAATATAGGTCTAGCCTTATATGCCCTATACACCTAAAGGTGTGGAAAGGGTCCTTTACTTTTTTACTTACGCCTATCACAAGAACAGTGTTTATAAGAACTCACAGATAACAAGAAAAACATAGGTAAGTTAAGATGAAGACAGCAAGAACAATGTCTGTAAAAACTCAAAGATAAGAAGAACAATTTAGATGAATAGAGATGAAGATAAGAACAATGTAGGTAGGTAACAGATAAACATAACAAGGAAAATTCATGCAGGTATAGATATTGTTAAGAAAAAAATGTAGACAGGAATACAGAGATACAAACAAAGTTATGAAGGACCATAACAGGTAACAAACACAATTTTGTAAGAATATTATTTTGTAAAACAAGTAAACAACAAGAAGAGAAAAATTCAGATAACAACATATTTAATAATATATTAGACAAATGTAGATTAAAAAAAAAAAAAAATTATTTTGGAACAAATATTTAACAAGAACGTGAAAGGTAAGAATACAAGAAAATAAGAAAAATTCAGATGATAACATATATTGGTAATAAGATAAAAGTGGATAAGAAAACAAATAAATATCAAGAAAATGAATGTTATAAGATAAATATAACAAAGGTAAGTATACAAAAAGATAAACAATAACAATCTTTCACAAAATATCCAGATGACAAAAACAAAAAAGAAACAAATAAATGCCCCCCCCCCCCCCCCCCCCCCCCCCCCCCAAAAAAAAAACATGCACGCACACATGCGTGCCAAATGTACACTCAAACACACAAAAACTGCAAGTGCAAAAGAAAAATCAGTTTTAACAAAATGAATTCATTCTCTGAGTTACATGAGATACTGTATAAATAATTCAATTTTTACAACTAGCTGACATGAAACAAATTGTCTTACCTTTAATGGCTTCTGCCGACTGCACAAGTTCAGTGACAGCATTGGCCACTTTTCGTGAAATCAAGGCCACATTCTGTTTACCCTCAGTGGTTGGCTTCATTACCACCTAGAGAAAAAAAAAAAACACAAGAGTTATTTTCTGCTGAAGTTATTTAAATAGAAAAGGCACTTATGAATTGGAAATATTTAGGCAACAAAGCAATACTGTGTGGAACCAATTTAGTTTCTGTGCGTGTTTTCGTGTGCTCACGCATTTTGGTAGTTCATCCACTTCTATACATTGGTCCAGAATCTACATGTTGCTCCCACATCTATTTCATACATCTGTTTTATAGATCTGATTTATCTGTATGTAGACTGCTAGTTCCTTGTCAGGCAGATGAACTTTGACTTCAAAGGCAGCTCCCAATTAGTCAACTCTTGTAACATGCTTTTACTTAGGCAGTGGGTCTATTCTTGCTTAATCCCCAGTGGGTTCCCAGAACCCACACAGAGATATTATTTTTAAATTTTTATGTTTAATTTACGTTCTTTCTTCTCATTCTTGTTTAAGTAATTAGTTCTTCCAGTTCTCTTCTATGCTTATGGTAAACTTTAGTTCTTTCTTCTCCTTTTCGTTTTAATATTTAGTCTTTTCTTTCTGATTTATTTCTGTATTTGTTTTAGTTCTTTCTTTGAATTTACTAGTTACATTTTATGTTCATTTAGTTTACAATGTAGCCAGTTTTCTAAGTTACATTTCCTCCTTGATTAGTTTACAATGCGGTCAGTTTACAGGTCTCTCGGACAGGGACAAACCTGGTGAACACACTCCAGCAGCTCTTTGTAAGACATGGCAGCTGTTCGTCCTGCATTGATAGCTCGCCGCTTGATCTCGGAAGTTTCCGCTGTCGCTGCTGCACCCTGCAGGTATATCAAACATTTCAAATATTGAGAAGAGAATAAACTCATTTACTGCCAATGAAATTAAAACATTCCAACATTATGGAGATAACAGAGACAACTTAAGAATAAATAAATTAACCCTGACCCATCTCTCCCAGTTGTAAGCAGCCCCCCCCCCCCCCCCCCTTTTTTTCCCCCTTTTCCTAAAAAGCTTGTCAAAAAAGTCAACTATTTAGGAATGTTTTCTCAGAAGTCTGAGAGCATCTGCCTGAAAGATGAGGAGCTAGCCAGCAGTCGGCAAAATGGATCTACATGCAAAACTCAACTTCTACAACAAGAGCATAGTCCAGCAGTGAACTTTAGGCTGGAGTTTACAGCTAGTGAGCTCAAAGAAGAAGAAAGGGATGATCATTCTAAACTGCCATCATGGAAATCATACCCTGATACACTCAGGATCATGACAGTGATGATGATGATGATGATGATGATGAAGACAATGATGGTGATGATGATGATGATGATGATGATGATGATGATGATGACAGTGATGATGATGATGATGATGAAGAAGACAATGATGGTGGTGATGATGATGGGACAGAAAGACAAGTCACCTTGACAACTGCCATCATGGAAAACATACCCTGATACACTCAGGATCATGACAGTGATGATAATAATGAAGACAATGATGGTGGTGATGATGATGGGACAGAAAGACAAGTCACCTTGACAACTGCCATCAAATCAAAGATAGCCTTCCTCCCCATATTGGCAGTGCTGATGACATCCTCTTGTCTGCATGAGTTAGCAGCTGCCACTGCTTTGGCCGTTGCAGTGGTAATCGGCTTGGCATAGCGGATCAGGTCTTCTGCTGAGGCCTTTTTCACCACCTCATCACTGCCATCAAATGCCTGTACAGGATGCAAGACTCGAATTACACATGGGTTACATCTCGGCCTGGTAACAAGCTCTATACATGATAAAGGCATCACAGAAACTTTTCAATACCACTGAGGTATACTGGTGATAGGGTGCTGAAGTTTTCAGAAGTTCGAAGGCACTGAAAGATCTAACATGGCAAGGAAGGGAATAGGTTACTTATATAATGCCTGGACTATGTTAACTATTTTGGCACCAGAGGACTGTTAAGTTAAATTGGATTTAAATCAATGCGTGATGGAAACGGGGGTTTTTGAGCCTTAAGATACAGGGCCGCATGGTTAGTGCAGCTGCCACGGACTGTGAACGCTAGGATTTTATTTTGTCCCCGACTGAAAAAATCCATGATCTTACAACGGATTAGAACCCTGGTCTTCCATGGCAATATTGAGTATTCTGGTATGTTACGTTATGTGGGTCAAATATACAAGTGAATGTAAAATTGCCTCGTAATTGGCCTAGTAAAACTACAAGCATCCAACAAATGCTGAGGTTAATTTGTGATGTCTTGTAAGGGATATGCAACCAACTCAAATTAATTGTCCGACTCTCAAAATAGAGTCTGGACCACAATAATGTGTGCCTGAACTGTTGGTTGTTGGCACTTTCTAGCCTTTCCTGTTTTAATGTACTGTATGTAGGGAGGTGTCGCAATTACAGCCCTTGGTGATGGCTACCATTAAGAGTTTAAAAAAAAATTTTTTTAAAAGTAAAGGACCCTTTTCCCCACCTCAAGGTGTATAGGGCATATAGGGCTGGACCTATATTTTACAGACAAATTAGCCCAAGATGGGTAATGTGGTCAGCATCACACCTACCATTAAGAAGTCTTCCACAACTGGAGCATAAGAACTCAGAACCACTTTTGTATGAGGAAACCTGATTGCAGTGAAGTTGAAATCTTGACTAAGGCTAAGACATAGTGTGCTTTTTCTCAGCTCTCAATCTTTCTACAATCAGGTTTTCTTCTATTCCTTTTCTCTTTCAGATTTTCCCACTGCTCGCAACAGGGTTCATGGCTTTTTGTTTTCACAAATCTACCTCAATACCTGTATTATTCCTGGATCATTCCTACTACCAGCATCATACCTTTACTTTGAGATGTCAAATATACTCTGAGCCGCCACAACAATCTTATTATTCTAAACACACATACCAAAATATTAAACAAACAAACAAATTCTAAACAGTAATTATTACCATATGTATCCTAACTATATTTACAAAGATATCAAAATCAGTCAGGGCAGTATCTATAACCATATCTACCCTAACTGCACATTCCGAGACATTACAAACAACATTGGCAATGACAATAATTGTGCACAAACACGCATTCAATAGTAGTCTTGTATCAGACCTTAATTTCCTGTCCAATTGCTTCGATAGTGGACTCGAGAGCCCTGGTTCCTCGGACAGCCTCATCCTCCACCGACTTCACTGTCTTCAAGAGAGATGTAACATTAGTCACCATCACCTGTGCAATGATTTAAAAAAAGTTAATAGGAAAGTTATTTAACAAATTATATTAGAAAGTTACCAGAGGAAAACTTACTTAGAGAAAAATTGAAAGAAACTGAACATAGAAACTACTAAAGGGCACAAGTAAATCATCTGCAAAGACACATGAAAGTTAACAATAAAATCCTCTATTAAAATATACTAGAAAGTTAACAGAAAACCACTAACAGACAAAAGAAAGTTAAACATCAAATCACCAACAGGCAACAGAAAGTTAACAGATGGAATAAAATAAACTAAATAACCATTTAGAAAAGGATAACAGAAAATAAACAGGAAAACACTTACTGACAAAAAAAAATTTATTTATCAGCAGAAAAAAATTTAGAGAAAAACAATTTACTAGAGAAGAAAATTAGCAGAACAAAAATCTTCTATCAGCAGAAAAAAATTAACACAAAAACGATTTACCAACAAATAGAAGTTAACAGAAACACCATTTATCAACAAATAGAAGTTAACAGAAACACCATTTATCAACAAATAGAAGTTAACACAAAAACGATTTACTAACAAATAGAAGTTACCAGAAACACCATTTATCAACAAATAGAAGTTAACAGAAACACCATTTATCAACAAACAGAAGTTAACAGAAACACCATCTACCAACAAATAGAAGTTAACAGAAACACCATTTATCAACAAACAGAAGTTAACAGAAACACCATCTACCAACAAATAGAAGTTAACAGAAACACCATTTATCAACAAGCAGAAGTTAACAGAAACACCATTTATCAACAAACAGAAGTTAACAGAAACACCATTATTTACCAACAAACAGAAGTTAACAGAAACACCATTTATCAACAAACAGAAACAAGTTGACAGACCACATTTCCATCCAACAAACAACTTTCACCTTAGCCGAGTCTTTCAATGTCAGCATAGCTGGATCACTGACACTCTTTCCTGATGCATTCTTGGTGGCACTGATCAGGTCTGAGAGCGCCGATGCCACGTCTTTCACAGCATTTATCAACAAGACCTGCATTGAAAGAGTAGTATTTATAATGAAGATCATAGATGGGGGATAATAGATATAAATAATGTTAAAACTAGATGGATAATCTTTTATAAGTGGGATTAAATGCGGATGGATAATGTTTATAAGCAAAATTAAATGTGGGTGGATAATGATTTTAAGCAAGATCAAATGAGAATGGATAATGATTAAAAGCAAGATCACAAGTGGATGAATAATATTTAAGCAAGATCAAATAAATGTTGATGGATAGTGTTTACAAGTAAGATCAAAGGTGATTGCCCTGTGTTTGAGGGGATGGGGGGAAGAGAGAGAGGGGGGAAGGGTCAGTCTCAAAACTTGCAGAAAAAAGTTGTACATGTCTTTCCCTTTCCCTTTTGTTTAGCCTTCAGGAAACAGTTTGTACTGAGTTACTAAGAGAGAAGATACTGTAACACCACCCACCTGTGCCTCTGGTTGGTTAGAACCTAAAGAGGCGGCCCCCAGCTTGACCACATCAGCCAGTCGTGTGATAGTCTTGACTGCACACTGGGCTGCAGCAGCTAGCTGCTCCTGGTTGGAGGCGGCTCCAGCGACCAAAGTTTTTGTATCCTCCACAAGAGCTTTGGCTGTTTTCAGGATGTTTTCTCTGCCAAAAGTAAACATGAATTTAGAAGTTGAAAGGATGTGGAGTTTTGTTATGAAATATTATTCAACTCATTAACTAACAAAGTACACGTAGAACTATAGATGTGAACCCTAGTTTTGACATGTAAATAAATCACATACAAACGTTTTGAATTTGTTTTTGTTTTTATTGGGCTCTCGTATATCAGTTTTTGCAGACACTTTTCCGTAATTCCAAATGATAGTGTTTCACTGAGCTCTAAGAGAGGCATGAGAATCACAGTGAGAGCAAGGGACAGTTCCTTTTCTCCATGGCAGAAAGCCTGGACAGTATTGGATAAACCATGCAGCATGATTCCTCTCTTGCCCTGCTTTGTTAAATGTAAAGGAGAGGTAACACCAATTTAACTGGAACAAATGTAAACCAAAAGATGCTGCAGAAACTGCTGAATTAGAACAACAATGCTATGTCTTTCCTTCTACAATAAAGCTAGTATCTTCCCCAAAGCCCTTCTCTGCTCGAAGCTGCTGGCACAATGTAGGATGTCAAGTTTAGTGTCTGTCCCTCAACATCTGGCATTACAGAGACCAAGCAGTACCAACTACATGGATAGAAATTACGAACATTGAAATACGGCATAGACTTCTTCTTAGTGTTCATTGGCTGTAAAACTCTGGTATAAAATTCTGGTTGTTCATCCACTTCTGGACTTTGGTCTTGTTCCAGAATTTCAGTTTTGCATGCATATCCATTTTACAGATCTTGCTTATTTGTATGCAGACTGTTAATTGTCACCTCTCGGGCAGTTGCACTCCAGCAAGAAGAAACACCCATTATTAGCTGCCTCTCACAACATGCTTATTAAGGGAGGAGGGTCTCCCCCCCCCCACCCTCCCCAATAGAGCCCTGGAACCCACACAGGAAAGGCATTGACTTTAAAAAAAAGAAAAAGAAAAATAAATGTGGGCTTTTTAACTACAATACAATGAGCAGCATACCTCTGGTCTGCAAATGATTCCGAGCCTTCATCGTTGAGAGTGCCAGCAGAAGCAAACATGATGCTTGTGTCCAGGTCTCCGATGATGCCACTGATTGTACTGGCCGCATTTATACAGGCCTGGGTGCCTCGGGCTCCTGCCTGCAAGGAGGCTAACACGTAGGACACCTGAAACATAAATTTTAGTCAAGATGGTTGGGGCTCTTCTATCATTGGTTTTCTGTTCATCTTCCAGTGAAGCATATGCAATGAACTCTTTCAATACCAAATTACTCCCCATGCACTCATTGGATCCTAGGTCAACCCAGCCTCGAGTGGGTACCGGGTGCAGTCCCGGGAAAGTAAAGGCGGCCGGCATGATGCTGACCACATCACCCATCTTGTGCCGATTGGTCTATAAAAATATAGGTCTAGCCCTATATGCCTGATGGCATGGAAAAGGATCCTTTACTTTACTTACTTTACTCATTGGGTATTTTTCTGAGGCTATTTTTATAGGCCAATCGGCACTCGAAACAGAAGTTTCCCACTTTTTCCTGGAAACTCCTGGCATGGTCACTGAGATTCATGCATGTTTAGTGGTCTGCTTGGTTAGCATGGAGGCCACCTATACTTCCCATAAAATTTATGGATACCCAGCTAGTTATTACTAAGACAACCATTGACATAAATGGGTCCTAAATACAAGAACCGCCCACCTTTTCCTGCACACTCTTGGCATGGTCGCTGAGATTCTTGCATGTTTAGTGGTCTGCTTGGTTGGCATGGAGGCCACCTATACTTCCCATAACATTTCTTAATACCCAGCTAGTCCTTACTAAGACAACCATTGACATAAATGAGTCCTAAATACAAGAGCCGCCCACCTTTTCCTGCACACTCTTGGCGTGGTCACTGAGATCCTTGCGCGAGTACTGATCTGTGGGGTTAGCCTGGAGGCCACCGGCATCTTGTACAAGCTCCACACAGGACTTTCCCAGGTCTTGAACTGTCGCTCGGATTCTGTTTCCAATCTGAGGTTAAAAAACAACAAAACAAATAAACAATCAGATAACATTTAAGCCCACTAACATTAGAACAGCAGGTTATTTCATAACCACAGGGTGCTTACTTTAACTGTTTCATTCTGGTAAAAGATATCAAGATATATGAAGGGAGTAAAAAAACAGATAAATATATATGAAGGGAGTAATAAAACAGATAAAGATATATGAAGATGGCAATTAAAAAAATAAAGATTTATGAAAAGAGTAATAAAACAGATAAAGATATATGAAAGGAGTAATAAAACAGATAAAGATATATGAAGGAAGCAATAAAACAGATAAAGAAATATGATGGAAGCAATGAAACAGAAAAAGATATATGAAGGGAGCGATAAAACAGATAAAGATATTTGAAGGGAGCAATAAAACATAAAGATATATGAAGGGACTAAGAAAAAACAGATTTCCTGTAGTAAACTTAAATAATGCGAACATAAATAATACATTGCACAATGAATTGCTTAACATATTTCGCTGTATCTCATCAGATGTATTACTGCAGAGATCATACATAAGGGCAGAGAGGTTCTGTAATAATGCACTTGATGAGCAAAATATGCCAGGCAATAATCTGAAATGCATTGTTTGCGTTCTCTGTTGAAATTGGATGTGTAGGTATCAAAGGTGCAGATGAAACAGCCTAGCAGTAAATCACAACATGCCAACCGCCAATCTGAGAGCAAACGCAGAAGTAGATTTCAGTGCCTTCTCTGGTCTTCTGATATAAATATTTTTCTGTGCCCGGATTCTAAACTAACATTCTGTTGATTGGTCTCCTCCCAGCTTCTTTTCCCCTCAAACCTTCCTGCTGTCACAGTATACTCCTGTTTTTCCCAACAAACACACAGCACACACAAAGACAACTATGGCTGTCATCCAAACCTCTGTACTGTTGGCAGCTGCGGCTGCTCCAATGGAAGCATTTGCCAGGGAAGCATAGTCTCTGGCCAGCTGATTGGCTATTACCCCAAGCTGGCCCACATTTGTTGTGGACTTGGCAATCTGGAGAACAAACAATCGCAACAGTTAACACTGAGGATGCAATAACTGCTCTTAGTGAACAGAACCTATTTTCTATAGTTGTAATTATATTCCAAACATCTTATCCAAAGCATATTCCTCGCCATCCTATGCTACCAGTGCCAAACTCAGTCACTCAATTCAAACCAGAAAGAAAATTAGTAAAAAAGAAAAACACTAAACAACACAAAAAGGCAGAAAATAATTTGCTTTTTCCATTTAGAAAGAATGCCTTGTGATGACAAAACAAACAAGGTATATATTAAGAGAGCAGAGTGAAATAGAACAAGAGACAAACCAAGAATAAGATGGAAAGATAACAAAGTGCCTATGGTCAAGGCAGCCAGAAGAGCAATTTTGCTATAGGAACTTGCAAGAAAGGATGTCATTTCATCAAACAAATGAATCAAATGGTCTGTGATGCACAGAGTGCATTTATGACGACTGTGGTTAAAAGCCAGACATGCACACTACTTGGCTCAAATACAATGGAATGGAGGGATAGACTGTGAGGCCTATGTGACAAATAATGGCCCAAGAGGATAATGATGACGAATGTTACTCATAAGGAAAGCAAACAGTAGCAGCACCAACCATGCATGTCTAAGAAGAGTTGGCACAACACTGGCTATTTTGTGGAAAGTATTTTGTGGAAAGCTACAAAATTAAATACTTGTGTGGTTGGGGGGGGGGGGGGGGGGGGGGGGGGGGGGGGGGGGGACAAGAAGAATCTTATGAAAACATGGTACACAACCAGCTAATTCTGATGTATCTCGACCATCACATATGTTCTCTAACTTGTTCATATTTAGTTTTAAAAAATATTCTATAGAAATATGGCTTCCAATATTGCCAGTTTAACTGTGTCTTTAGTTTCAATAAAATTAATCCATTAGTAATTTCTCATTATGCTTATTTTCTCTGTTGAGCATCTGCGGCTAAACTCACAAGACTGAAATAGATAAGTACTTAGCATTTTTGAAATTAGGATTCACTTCTCACCATGTCTTGTGCTGCCCTGGCCATCTGCTTGGCCAGTCTGACCATGTTCGTCTGGTGATCCACAAAGGACAGGTTTTCAATGATTGACATTCTGTCTGTCTGTCGATCATCGGTCTGGAATATGAGCCAACAAAACATGCTCAATATATACAAGGAATTTGGCATTTTCAAACTCATAAGCCAAACTGTGTGTATAGTACTATCCATGTGTGTCAAGCAATACATGGTATGTTAATATTTCTTTTATGTTTAGCCTGAACAAAGTTAAGAGATCTGGCCACATTCATTTCTGAGATTGGCCTTCTCTTTCAAGTTGTAGACTCCAAGTGTTTGTAAGTCTGCCTATATTTTATCACTCTTCTTAGTCTGGCACATGATCTACTCCCATTCAACTCTGTTGTGTATGCAGTTTATTTCTCTGTTATCTTGCATTCTCTTCATAGCCCCTACCACTGCATTATATCAGCACCTCATGATGCCCATAATTTGTAAGGATTGAGAATTTAAAAACTGCTCTGCACTCTAAGGGAGTCAAAGTGAAGTTGTGGCTAGATGCTCGCCTGCAGATCAGAAGGCTGTACGCCCGGGTCTTGACAAAACCTGACTTAAAAAAAAAAAATGTATGACCTTGGCCCCCAGGTCTACCCAGCCTAGTATGGGTACCAGGTACAGTCCTAGGAGGTAAAGGCGGCCAGTGTGATGCTGACCACATCACCTACCAAAGGCCGATTGGTCTATACAATTAGGTCTATACGCCCAATATGCCTAAGGCAAGGAAAAGAGTGTTTTACTTTACTTTTTTACTCTCCATTCTTGCATATCTGCATCTATGATAGGTCCAATTATTCATCACAAATCTCAGTTTTCAAAAGTGTGTAATAAGGCTTCGTCTCTTTTAATTATACTCCAGGTTTCATAGCATTTTAAAATATAGATCAGTATATATGTCATGCGCCCCCCCCTCCCCCCCCCCCCTCCCCATTCTTAACCACCTCTGACAGAAAATAACACCAGGGCAGGACCTGGTACAGTCAAACTGAGTGCTCTTATTATATCAGGAGGCTGAACGGGTTTTTCAGGATTTGACTTGATGAACTGTATTCCTTCTTTTTTATTCACTGGCTATAAGCTCTGGCAGAAAGTCTCGTTGTTCTCCATTTGGACTTTGGCTTCGTGCCAGGGCACATGTACATCCATTTTACTGGCTTATTTATGCGCAGTTGGTTTTTCCCTGCTAGATGCACTCTAACTTCGAAGGAAGCCCCCATTTGTCTACTCCTACGAGTAGGAGTGGCAGTGGGTCTATTCTTGTTTTTTCCCCTCAACTGGGCCCTGAAACACACACAGTAAGATTGTATTCCAAGATGTGGCTCTGAAGGGCTGGCGAAACCTTTAGGTAAAATAGTCTGCCAGTGTGCATTCCCCTCATTACAATTATTATCTTTAAGAACATTTTTTATGAAATATTCTCAAGCTTGAAGCCTCTTTCGGTGCCAGCCAACTCACCACACGTTTATTGGGGATTCTATATATGGCAGTAAATTCCATCTGTCCCTTCCTACTGTTTTGTGTAGTCTTTCTATCTCAACTGCTATTTTCATTCAGTTGGTCTCATGGTTGTGTTAACTTATTATCCCTTTCATCCTGAGTGGTCAATGATTTGGCAAAATCATCCGTCAGAGATCCCAGTGAAGCTGTTGGGAATAGCACAATTATACTGACCAGTCCTGAAAAATCCAAATTAACGTAACTGACTGCATCTGTGCAGTGCCGTGTTTAAGAGGGTCAGGTAAGGTTATATTTTTAAACTTGTGGAAAAATGGCTTTTCAGACATGATGATGTCATCAATTCCCTTAGTGGTAGCATCATAAAAAGAGGCATCATATAAATTCTTTTAGGCCCATGGATATGTATTCCACTTAATTCTTAACTCTGTTCATGTTTATTGATCACTTCCCTTCAATATTTCTTTAAAAAGAATTTTAACGTACATAAATATTTTTTTTTTAAATCAAATTTTTTTTAAAGTGAGCGGCGATTCCTGGGTCTCTGGCTCTTACCACAGGGGATTCCAGGGCGAAAGGGTAAAAACTTTGCGATAGAAACTGGTGAAATTACAACTGCCTGGGACTTAGAGAGTTAAAAAATATTTTTACTCACCCTAGCAATGGCCTTGGTGATTGTGTCAATCATACTGTTGACCACGCCTGCCTGAGAGGCCGCCTCCTCCATCGTCTGCAACAGGTCCTGTAGGACGTCCTTCATATCGTCAGCAGCACTGTCAATAGGGCCATGAGTGTTAACGGCCTGCCCAAGAGATAGCAAGAACAATTCATTGTAGGAATCATATCAAGACATTGACTTTCCACATACATCTCCCAAGTCTAATTGACATAATTATATTTGTCTATTAGCTTGAAGGTATTGGTTTGAATCTGCACCAAGTGGGTTTTAGGGGGGAAAATTACACTACTCAAAACAAAACACACACACACACACACACACACACAAAACAAAGAAATTCATAGCTACTGGAAGGTACATCATTGTGTCATAATTTTGGCATTCAATCTCTTTGTAATTTAATGTGTGAAACTGTTCAAATTGCACATAAAAATACCTTGGAATTCAACCAATCTACTGACATTCATTTGCATATTGGATGTCGATAGTTTTTAGGTGTACGGGCTTTCCCGTCAACTGATAGACATGTGCCATCGGATAACTATGCGTTTGTTTTTTAACAGTGCACTTTGGCTCTAGGTTTACCCAGTAAAAAAATCAGTTCTAGGAAATATCCTGGGAGGTAAAGGCATTCAGCATGATGTTGACCACATCACCCGTTTGTGGCTGCTGGGCCTATAAAAAATACCAGTCCAGAATCATGGCGAGAAAATGGTCCTTCACTGTGTTGGCCGATCAGTGCAGATTTCACAGCCCGGCTGTATAACACAAAACAACAAGCCTACTGTCCTTTCAAGTGTGAGTACCGAAAAAGAAGATCTTGACACTCTTCCTTTGTCACTTATTTGATCATGTTAATATAGAGTTTCCTGCATTTCCCTTCAAGCTATTGAATGCGATTAATACTCAGAGGACTGGCTTCAATGCACCAGATTTGATCCCAGCTGGCTTGATATCTGTGCAGAATAGCAGCCTACCAAGAATGTCACTCACAGCACCAGCTCTGTGGCTCCAGCAGCAGCCTCTAAGGATCTCCAATGCCACAGCCTGAATACAAACCCATGACCTCCAGTAAAGTATGCAATGTCAACAACATCGAACCAGCCACTGACATTTAGGGGCACATGGTGGTAGAACCACAATTTTATACTCCAATCAGCACCTGAGCTGTGATATGGTGAACAAAATGCTGGCCATCTTTACTTCCCAAGACATTTTCTGGTACTCCTTTTAGACCTTCAGAGTATGTGTTAAATCAACATGACTATATCATCCAAGAGATCCCAATAAAATGTGAGCATACCTTGGGATTACCACCTCCTTCTTTACAAGCATACATAAACTGACTACATTGTCACAGAGATCCCAAGAAAATGTGAACATACCTTGGGATTACCACCTCCTTCTTTACAAGCATTCATAAACTGACTACATCATCACAGAGATCCCAAGGAAATGTGAACATACCTTGGGATTACCACCTCCTTCTTTACAAGCATACATAAACTGCAGAGCAGACTCAGCCACCGTCTTAGTCTGGTCCAGGATGTTCATCTGTTGCCTGGAGTTGACGGTCTTGCTGGCTGTGCCGACAGACGATTTGGCCAAGGGCTCAAAATATGAAGATAATGTGGCAGCCTGGGGAGAGAGAAAAAAAAATATTACACAACATTAAAACACAATCTCTTTACTTTTTGTGTTCTCTGGTCCTGTTCTGTTTAGCCTTTCAGTGTCACCTTTTGAATAGGTATGAGGTGCAAGCCGACGTGTGTACCATGTAATTGCTGGCATTTACAGCCATAAATATTTTATCAATCCATCACCCACACGGATGATCTCTAGCTTTAGCCCGGCTCTCTAGCGTAGTTGACTAAACCGGATTGCGCGGAGACCGGGTGACAAACTCCTTGTGGTCCGGGTTCAATCCCAGGGGTAGGCAGGAAAGCCACATTTTCTCCCAGATTTACGGTATTTACAATGGAATCAAGGCCGAAAGGTTGCGATATCCATAATACCGAGCCTAAGGGTTAACAACTCATTACTTCTGGATACTAAAACAAACAATCTCTAGCTTTGATTCCTTTGTGTCTAAGTAACACTGCTCTCTGTGGTTCACTATGAGTCTTGAAACATGTTCTAAACATCTGATCTATTGTCTCTTGATGTAGTTTAGCACTGGTTTCATCCTTATTGGTTCACATAGAACTTGGGTAACACACAATCAGAAAATCCATAAATGAAAAACCCAACTCAACACATAGGCACACATATGCACACTTATGGTCTAAGTAGTCTAGCATCAGCGGCTTATGAGATATGTGCAGTTTCATCATTCTGACACATCACAGTTAAATAAAAAGCTGCAGGCGACACACCCTTTTTTCCCCCAACCTAAGAATTCCACCAGTTAACTGAATGGCAAATTTGGAAAAACAAGCACATGACTTTCAGAGGGAAAGGAAAATGCCTTGGCAACGCTATGATCAGTTCAGCTGTCATCATTGCAATATGCACACATCCACACTCATTAACTAGTTCAGTCTCATGCATGTGTTACTTTAACTCATTATATCATGAGAAATTGCTAATGTATCTGGTAAATATTTTTACCCGAAGTAATAAAAACATAAATTCTATGTGACAGTAAGAGTTACAGTAACATATTTCGTTAGGTGTAATAACTGGCTGGGGCATAAGGAGTTGACAAAATGAAAGCTTTTAAACAGAATCGACAAATGTAAGGTCAGCAGCTCCTGAACCAACTGAGTTAAGGCATGTCTTACCAAATGGCCTAAGTTCTGTGATTCTTCTTTGGCAGCTTGTCTTATGAGGTCAATTCTGTCCAGAATTTCTCTGGCACTGTTGATCATCTGTTCTTGATATGCCTGTTAGGATAAGTGTGTAGAGATAATAGAATACCTGTAAAAAAATAATGTTATATGTTGAGACTATAGTTTGAAATAGATGCATGCTGGTAAATGATGTCTGTCAGTTGCTATATTTGAAGTTTGAACAACAGATCAACATCATTGCCAAGGGTAGTAACCCATAAGTGCTCCGTTCTTCTAAGTCTTAGTCTGAAGAAGTTCAGCTCAGGGCACGGGCTACGTAGCACCGGCGAGTAACCTGAAATAGCTCCAAATTTTGCCCATGCAGCACTGTTAGGCTACTCTTTTCGTTTTCCAACTGCCAAGGGATTTTTTACATGCGCAACAATACACACTGGCATCCTATCTTACTACCCAGAGACCAGGGGAAATTACTAGAAGTCCCACGTGAAAAATATAAGCCCTCACCGGGGCTGAACCCGGACCTTTAGCACATGAGGCGGATACCATATATTGAGACCACGCAGCTCCCAGTTAGTTGCTATATTTACCTACCTACCTAAACATCCAACTGACTGACCCAATCCACTCATCCAATCCATTTCATCCACTCATCTGTCTATCCCACTCTACATTACTGTCTGATAGCCTCTCTATTAATTCAACAATACCTTCTGTTCTCTGTCGATCAATCCTACTCTACTGTACTGTCCTATGTGTTCACCTGTCTATCTACCCCCTTATGCACTCTGTCTGTTTTTCCTGTCTATCTATCCTATTCTACAGTACTCTACCCAAATTTACTCTGTCCATCTGTCTGCCTATCTATATATCTATCTTACTCTACACTACTATATCTGTCTGTTTGGATGTCTATTCAATTCCACCCTACTGTACTCTGTCTGCCTGTCTATTAATCCTTCTTTACTGTACTGTCCATCTATTTGTCTGTCTATCTATCCTACTCTTACTCTGTCTATCAGTGAGCCTGTCTATCTATTCCACTCTACCCTACTGTACTCTGTCTGTCTGTCTGTGTCATACACTAACCTACTGTACTCTATTTGTCTCTCTGTCTGTCCTACTCTAATGTACTGTCTGTCTACCTGTTTGTGTGCCCATCTATCCTACTCTACCCTACTGCACTGAACATGTCTGTCTAAGACTACAGGGCATACATACTTTCAAAGACTTTTCATCGCTGGGTACAAGGTTCTGACTGATGGCTGCCAGTGAGGCTTGGTCAAGCTCTCTGATGGTCATGTTCAGGTGTTCAATGGCACTGTCACACTCACGCTGTCCAGGTGCACTATCCCTGAAAGAAGAAAAGAAAAAAGTGCAGATTTATACAAATATATGCATGTGGGTCTACCTGCGACTTGAAAAGACTTAAATTCAATAGCAGACAGTTAAGATAGTATTTTTTTTTTTTTTAAAGACAGTTATGCAATAAAAGTGATTCATGGACTATCTTCAAGTCCTTGAGAAGAAAAAAAAACAGGGGTTTCTGAGCTAAAATTTTCCATGTAGATTCCTGGGCCCCATAGTGGGGAAAACATGTATAGACCCACTTCCTCCCGAACAAGCATGTCGTGCGACTAATTTGGTACTTCCTTTAAAGTCGGAGTACATCTGCCTGAGAGGCAAGGAACCACAAGTCTGCATACAAATAAGCCAGATCTGTGAAACAGATGTGCATACAAACACTCAGGTTCTGGAGCAAGACTAAAGTCTGGATGTGGAAGAACACCCAGAAATTTCCAGTAGAGTTTACAGCCGGTGAACGTGAAGAAGAAGAAGAGCTGAAATGCTATAGAAAGATTCTCAGAATAACATAGACAAAGAAAAGTAATACTAAAATTCTAAAAGATCTGAACCTTAAGGAAGACTGGCTAATAAATGGTATCTTGTCTTAGAGCTAATAAACAGTATCTTGTCTCAGAGCTAATAAACAGTATCTTGTCTCAAAGCTAATAAACAGTATCTTGTCTTAGAGCTAATAAACAGTATCTTGTCTCGAAATATCATAGCAAATTTCATGGTGGATTGGAAAAAAATAACAGCAGAAGGTACTGTACAGGGAAGGAGGAGCAGGGGCTGACCAACTCGAAGATGGACACTGAATATAACACAGGAAATAAATGAAACCTTGGATATGAAAGCGCATGAGGCTGAAAAGCTGGCGAGGACAAAGTTCTTTTCAGGCAAACCGTGATGAAGGATGTTCTGCAAAGGACCTGCTATATGATGATGATGATGATGATTTTATGCACTGGGTCTATTCCCTCCACCCCCACCCCAAAACAGAAGAGAACTTAAATTGAAACCCACACATGGAAATGATGAAACATAAGGAGCACTTACTTGATGCTTCCCACAAGTCTCTTGATAGCCTCGGAGACACTCTTGGAGTGGTGTGAGTACTGCTGGTAGACGGCGGGATCTCTAGGATTGACAGCCAGCTGTTTGGCTGCATCCAACATGTTGCTGGCACCTTCAATCATGGCTTTACCGGACTGGGTGATCGGCTCTTGTGCCTGGCGAGCCTGCACAGATGTCAGTGAAAAGCCGTATTGAACTCTTTTGGTACCAAGCAACTTACCGTATGTAATATGGTTAGTCAATGTAACATCTAATGTTTTTACTTTTTTAATGTACTGAAGAACATTCTCAATAGAATTGATCCAGAACCCCAAAGAGCAAGATCTGGTGAGATACTTGAACATCTATGCAATCTATGGGGGCCCAAATGTCGATGCCATCTAGGTCACATGAAAGTCTCTGCCATCTAGCAAGTTAAATAACGATGATGGTTGACAACAAGGAATGTTGAATTAAGAATTAAAAATCATCACAACACTCGGGACACCCCCATAAGCGCTCTGTCCCCATCTACAGCAGCCAGCAAAGAGTTCCAATTCCGATGGCACTAGTAACTGTCTGACTGTATATCCGTCTCGCCTTTCCCTTGAGTGTTAAGCGCCAGCCAGATCCCCTTGTAACACCTCGCAGTGCCATTCTCCCCAGACCGTAACGATAGATGACAACAATGATGATCATCATCTTCATCTTCTTCTTCATCTTCTTCTTCTTCTTCTTGACGTTCACTGGTGGATAGTTCTGGTTGTTCATCCCCTTATGGACTTCAGTCTTGTTTCAGAACTTATCCATTTTACAGATCTGGCTTATTTGAATGAAGACTGTTGGTTTCTCACCTCTCAGGCAGATGCACTCCAGCCTCAAATGAAACACCCCTAATTGGTCGACTCTTTCAATATGTTTGTTAGTATCTAGCTCTACTTTTTTCCTGCACAAGGCGGCCTCCTAACAATCATGAGGATGATGATGATAATTATGACAATGACAACAATGATGAAGACAATAATGATAAAGAAGACCAGATGTCATAAATTCTCACCTGAGCACTAATTTTGGCTGGTTTGCTGGCAAACTCTGGCGAGGAGGCAAAGGTTGTCAGTTCATCCACAGCACTGATGAGTGGCCGGGCAGCCTCGGCACAGTTCTGCCTGTTCTCCTCAGTAAAGTCACTATCCAAAGCCTGTAAGAACATACAAAACAAGAGAAACTGATGACAAAGCTGCAGGAGCAAATGAAACACTGATGACAAAAGCGAATTGCAGGAACACAAGAAAACCTGATGATAAAAGTGTCAGAACAAAAAAAGAAACACTGATGACAAAGCTGTAGGAGAAAATAAAACACTGATTACAAAGGAAATTATAAGAAAGCTAAGAAAGGTGTTCAATGCAAAACGTGACCTTGGGTACAAATGATACGGAGAAGAAGAAAAGCTGACCAAAAATAATGTAGAAGAGAACTGAAGAACAAGATGAAAAATGTGAGGAGGTCATTGGGGTGAGCTGCAGTTTGAGTTAACTAAGTGCCTAGGCTCCACTAGAAGGAAGAACAGGAGGTTAATGGGCAGAAAAAGTGTAATGCGTAAAAATACATTCATTATCATGTAGGTGGTTCTTTGTAGAAAGTCACTCCAACAGAAAGCCTGCTGTTTCCCCATCTTATGAACAGCCATGTGCCCTGTGTTATCGATGGTGTCTCCACATTTGTGCTTGTTGGCATCTACTGGCAACACAAGTATAACAATGTTCCCTGGCAACATAGTGCCATTTGGCAACACAGCTTTGTAATCTTGCCTGGTTGCAAACTGGCAATATATATCCTCACAATGCCAGCTAAAACACACGATCATCTCAGAATGCTGTGGGGTAACTACCTCATTAATTGGCAACACGCACAGCCTCTAAGCCCACAATATAATTGCAACATTCATCCCTATAATGACACCTAGCAACACAACGTGTTGAAACACTACCTCGCAAAATATCTTTTTTAACTGGCAAGAGACACCAATGCAGTGTTATTACAACCTAACAATGCTACCATGTAATATATCTCAAACCTGTACCTGGCTCCCTGTAGCCTCACAACACTACTTTATAATACTATCTGGCAACACACAGATAGCTCCATACTGCTAGCTATGTTATCTAGCAACATATAATCATCTCATAAAGCTACCTGGCAGTAAGCAAGTCCACTACTGTCTGCATTTACCACTTTTTAGAGAGGTGTAGACAGGAGGTTATGAGCTGAGGATTTAAGGCAGCATGGCTGGTGCTGTCATCATGGACTGTGAAGGTTAGGATGTTTAATTTTGCCTCTGACAGAAAAACTCCATCACCTTACAGGGGGTGAGGAATCGAACCCAGGTCTCCTGCATTAGAGTGTGATATTGTAACCGCTCAGCCAGCCACTGCTTGTAAGTAAGTAAAAGTAAAAGTAAAGGGAATTTCATGCCAGTTACATCCAGCTAATGCTGTTTCGACTCTTATTTTTGTGAACAATCAGCCCTTGACAGGTGAAGCAGTTAACAAACCACTAGCATTAAGTAGCTGTACAATTCTACTACGCAAAGATCTCACCAGACTTTAAACCGAAACAAAAAAACCAACACCTACCTTAATGGCCTTCACTAAGCTGGCAGTGCTGTTAGCCACATCTTTGGCACTCTGTACAAAATGTCTCTTGGCCACAGGGTTGGCAGTTTTGGAAGATGCCAGGCGGCAGGAGTTGCACAGAGATGAAGTGTGTTTGGCCACAATAGTAGCTGCCGACAGCACCTGGTAAGCGAGAAGAACAAAGAAAAATGATACCTGAATTCTTCATCCCAGACATTTTGTTGCAGACAGATGACAATGATATACCTCAAATCTGTGGAGGAATCATTACATCCACTTCTAGTTTCTTCTTTCACATTCGCCCTTAGAAAAAGGGTGTGGCATGTTGTGTTGCAGACAGGTGACAATGATATACCTCAAATCTGTGGAGGAATCATTACATTCACTTCTAGTTTCTTCTTTCACATTCGCCCTTAGAAAAAGGGTGTGGCATGTTGTGTTGCAGACAGGTGACAATGATATACCTCAAATCTGTGGAGGAATCATTACATCCACTTCTAGTTTCTTCTTTCACATTCGCCCTTAGAAAAAGGGTGTGGCATGTTGTGTTGCAGACAGATGACAATGATATACCTCAAATCTGTGGAGGAATCATTACATCCACTTCTAGTTTTCTTCTTTCACATTCGCCCTTAGAAAAAGGGTGTGGCATGTTGTGTTGCAGTTTGTAGCTAAGCTGCAGCACTTGTGCCTTTCCGCATCTGATTCAGTACACCCCTAATTAGTTACCTTTTTACGAAATACTAGTTGGGAAGGCAATGAGTATATCCCTACCCCCTAACCCCCCCCCCCCCCCCCCCCTCACCCCCCCCCCCCCCCCCCCCCCCCCCCCCCCCCCCCCCCCCCCCCCCGCCCCCCCCCCCCCCCCCCCCCCCCCCCCCCCCCCCCCCCCCCCCCCCCCCCCCCCCCCCCCCCCCCCCCCCCCCCCCCCCCCCCCCGCCCTCTCCTTTTTTCTGTGTTTGTGTGTGTGTGTTTGTATGAAACTACTTGGAAAGAATCATAACAAACCTAGGAATAATCCTGGGGTGGACACCATTTTTATATAAGCGGGTCAAACTTAGATTTACCAACTTGGTTGGGGACTAAACGTTTTTTGTTTGATGTATTATAACCAAATAATGTCTGAGTTTGTCTGTAACACATTCTTTACTAACAGGATCAAACAGCTGTCAATATCAGTTTTCTGCTATCAATGTTTAGGTTATTACTTTTTGGGATGTTGACATTTGGATTTTTCCTTTCTCCATAGGAATCTTTGTTTTTTTCTATTCTGTTTTTTTGTGAGCTCAAGGGCTAGATTACACAGTAATTTTATACCAACTCGCAAGCCAGTAAGAACTCCTCAGTGAGGGGAGTTTTGACTGGTTAAATCGTACCACCCCTCACCACAGCAAAGGTGCACACCACCTGAGCCTATGTTTTCAAAGATGCATGGATATTGTTAAAAGCAGTTGTCATAAAAGCAAAGTTATTAAATTTAGTCTTTTATGTAGATATATATGAATGTTGTTGTTTTTTTTTGTACGCTGATTAACTCTGTCAGTAGTAGGAGGTTTTACAGGAGATATCCAAGGGAAAAATAATCATGATTTAAAACAATCATGAATGGAATTACTTTCACAGTGTTAAGTGTGTGGCCTCCACAAATCTTCTTCTTCTCTTCTATTCACCCGCTGTAAATTCCAGTGGAGAGTTCTAGTTGTTCATCCACTTCTTGCTCCAGAATGTGAGTTTTGCATGCACGTTCATCTGACAAATCTGGCTAATTCACCTGCACACTGCTGGTTCCTCACCTCTCATGCATATGACTTTGAAGGATACCTCCCTAATTAGTCACTTGCTATGACACGCTTGTTAGGGGGCAGGCAGAGGTACTATTCTCCACCCACTAAAATGAGGCCCTAGAAACCAAATAGGGAGGTTTCCACACATTATAGGTCATGGCATAATAGTGTTAGTTGGCTAGTTTCCTTCCCAGCTTGCCATAGCTTTAATTCCCAGATAATTTCTAGAAAATTCAGAAAATTATCAAGTTACTTCCCCCCACCCGTGTGGACCCCATTTTGGAGGGGAGGTTAAAGAACAGACCCAGTGCCCCTGAACAAGCATGACATAAAAGGCAAATTATTGAGGATCAGCTAAAATTTGATGTTGTGGATTGAAAGATGTAAATAACACAGCTGTAACCCCAATACAAAGTGCCAATCGCCCTTGTAATTCGTTCAGTACCACAGGACAGTTAAATCAATCATAAATCAACACATTATGCATGACTTTGTACAGAAAGAGCTAATGTTGTATACTGAAAAAGAAGAATCAAGCAACGGTTGTATCAGGATGGGCCAACCCGTGACCTTTGACCTGTGCTGGTCAGAAAACAAATCCCAAAGCAAGAATATCAGAATCCATCAATAGCCACATGACTTAAACATTATACTGCTTCATCCTGTTAGAGGTCTCCGTGGCTAAGTGATCAAGCCGTCTGCTTCAGGCTCTACGTCTGCTACAGGCTCTAACCGTTGTAGGTTCATTTCATGGACGGAGTCATCGGCTCACAATGCATCTCAAGGGATCATGGCTGGAGCTTCAGAGTTCAGGCTTTATGTGACACCCTCAAGAGGCGGCTAGCCTCTATGCAAGAAACTGAGCTTTATAGGATAAAACCCAGTGCAATGAAGTTGATTCTCGGGACCAGTGTTTCCCAACCCTTTTTATGCCATGCCCAACCTAAATACCCAACCCCTTTCTAAATTTCTTATTTCCCCATATGTAACTTAAACTTTGGAAGAGTCCATTTTCAAACTGCCCCCCTCCAATAGTCAAATTACCCCCCCCCCCCCCCCCCCCCCTCCCCAAAGTGGGCCCCACATTGGAAAACACTGCTCCAGACCTTAATTTTGAAAGTAAACAAATCCCATGATTGCTTGGGACTGAACCCAAACATGTAAGCACAATAGCCACTAGGCAAATCACAGCTGTGCAATGCAAACAGTACTAACATCTACACTCACTTCAACAAACAAATGAAAAAATCAAGCTCAAAATGCATTCAAATTTGCTTAAGCCCACATAATAAAGTCGAAAAAACATGGGGAGGACATGGGCTAGGCTGCATGCAATAGCAAAGGATAGGACGACTGGTGTGAGTTGATTGACGGCCTAAGCTGCATCTGGAGATGAAGGGCAGAAGAAGAAGTCATATCACTTAAATCTACAGGTCAAATCTTCTTCTTCTTTGTCTTCACTGGCTGTAAAGTTCGGCTGAAAGTTCTGGTTGTTCGTCCACCTCTGGACTTTAGCCTTTTTTTTTTTCAGAACTTGAGTTTTGCATGCACATCAATTTTTACAGATATTTTGTGTAAAGCAGACTGTTGGTACCTCGCCTTAGGCAGATGCACTCTGACTATGGAGATCTCCTAATTAGCAGACTTGTACCACATACTTGTTGAAGGGAATACTCTCCAAAACCTGGTCCCAGAACCTAACGGGGGAAACAGGTGGAAGGAAATTTTCAACAGCACATTATAATTAACATGCAGGTGAATTTGATCAGAAAAACAAAAGTAACATAATACAAGCAGACATACAAAAGGCTAGAATGAAAATATACATATGAAATTCACATGAAATTCAGATTTGTTTACCCAACATGCACAAATGTGGTTTACACAATGACTACCTAAAACTGTGAGCCTGCTGACCCAGTGGTAATAGGTTCTCACTTGAGGTCTCTCAGAAAAAACTGGCCTTGGATACCAAAAGTGCCTGGCCTAAAAGTAAGTAACTACAGTAAAGGACTCTCTTCCCACCAGTGAAGCACTGGGTATGGGCTTGACTCATATCTTTTAAGACCAAACAGTACTTGACCTTTACATCCTACCACCCATCTTTATTCCCATTTTAGGCAGAGTTTACATGGCAACCAAGGCAATGATGTTGTTTTTAAATCAGCCAAATGTGGATTCACTTCTAGACCTTCAGACTGGCAGGTGAGCAGCTAGCCACTACACTACCACGCTCAACAGTCAACTGGCCTCTGCATGAGAAACAGAGCTGTATGGGATCAAACTCAGGGCACTGAAGCTGATTCTTAAGACTTTAACATTTTAAGAAAACAAATTTTACCAATGCTTAGGACTGACACACACATCGTGAACGTAGCTGATCACAAAGTAGGTTGAGAAAGACGGAGACAGACATGCTCTGTTCAGAATGGCAGGCATCGCTTCAGAGGTTCTGTGTAGTCGGCGTTCTTTTCGTATATTCTTTGGGTCAAGCAGGAGTGTTGGGAAATGAACAGGCAGACTGGTTGGTTCTGCACCAAAGGGTGGTGAATTTATGTCTGACAAGCTAGATGTGTCCAGTGTCTTGGGCGGCAACTGAACAATATGCAAGCAGGAGTGTTGGGAAATGAACAGGCAGACTGGTTGGTTCTGCACCAAAGGGTGGTGAATTTATGTATGACAAGCTAGATGTGTCCAGTGTCTTTGGCGGCAACTGAACAATATGCAAGCATGAGTGTTGTGAAATGAACAGGCAGACTGGTTGGTTCTGCACCAAAGGGTGGTGAATTTATGTATGACAAGCTAGATGTGTCCAGTGTCTTGGGCGGCAACTGAACAATATGCAAGCAGGAGTGACCAGGGGAACCTGGTGGACACTCAATAGACACTCTACACTCAGAAGAAAGGCAAGATTGATGTATAAACAAACTGCTACTGTCATCATTGGAACTGAAACTCTTCGCTGGTACTGAAGATGAGGATGCAGCACTTATGGGAATGTCTTGAGTGCTGTAATGACACAGCCGCGCTCCCCAAGGCTAGAGAAATGTACCAGGAAATGTCCTAGAAGTAAAGATGGCTGGTGTTACGCTGACCACCTCACATATCAAGCTTTTACTGGTCTATAAAAATATTGGGTTCACACCATATGCCTTGTAAACATAATCTGTGGAACTGGGACCTAAAGAAGAATCTGTCAAACTATAGATAAACAAATTATAAACTGAACTCTCTCTTTACCAAGTAAAAAATTACAGGTTCTTTCTTTAATAAAAGATCTCCCTGTGTGGGTTCTAGGGCCCTATTGTGGAAAGGGGGGGGGGGGGGGGGTAACTCACTGCTGTATTACAGATCTGGTTTATTAGTATGTGGACTGTT